AACCACCCAAAGGCCTAGGAAGAAAGTCCTGTCAATTTACTTCCCAAATATCAGCCATTGAAAACCGTCTGGAGCACAGTTCTGCTCTAACACACATGGGGTCACCACGAGTCAGAACTGACACAATGGCAACTGGTTTTGTTTCTGGTTTTGTGATGAGTAAGGATTTCCAAACATGAAGTGTTAGGAATGGGACGAGGGGAGGAGTAAGAGAAGCTTGGGAATCCCACCCAAACCAAGTCCCCTCAACTGAATGAGCAGCCTCTTCCAGCTAGTTCTAAGGAAGAGTTCAGACTCCCTAAGGGGAGTGGAAACTTGTTTTAGTTTTATCTAAGACCAAACCTTTTCTGGGAATTGGGGATCGCCAACAGCCCTCCCATCCAGGCGACAGCTGTCTTTGTTTAAACTGATCCTTCAATTCCAAAGCCACATCTCTGTGCGACCTTAGGTGGCTCTCTCTGGACTACAGTGTTGTCAAGCCCACATCTGCTGGCTGGCTCACTCATGTTTCTCAAATGGAAGCAAAGACATCTTTCAATCAAATTAATGTCACTTTTTAAAATACAGCACACATTTTTGGGCTAACAATTCACAGGAACTTTTTTATCCTCCTTTAAGTAGAGTAAAGGTTCATCCTGTGTTTAAGGAGAGGGGCTAGTCCAGGAGCAGACATCCAGGACAGTCAGACAAGGCCCTCTCTCTACTCAACTTCACTTGTCGGTGATTATCTCAGATTCCTCTTCAGGAACTGATCTAGCAGTTGGTGAGACTGCGCTTCTCAGTGCTGATGAATTTTTTAACATCCACTCTGAAGCCCGACAGCTGAGGGTCAGGAAGCTGAGCGAGGTGGGGGAGGGCTAAGTGTTTCCAGCCAGTAGGCTGGACCAGGGCCGCCTGCCAAAGCCTAGTTGTAGGGCTTAGGAACTAAACTCACATGAGAGAAAGCAAGGAAGTGTGACATGTTCAGAGGCAATTGTGGGAAAGAGCTGCAGACTGGGAGTTCAAAGCCCTGAGTTCTAACCTTGTCTCTGACCCTGACTGTGGGACTCATCCAAGTTAGAAAGCCTCCCTGGGGCCCTGTTTCTCACCTGAGAACTGAGACGCTCTGACCGAATGGGCTCCAAAGTCCCTTCCAAGCTGGGCCCACTGCGGGGGCTGGGAGGCTTGTGAGCCCCAACTCAACACATCCGGTCTTGTTCTTCTCAGGCCTGAAATCAGAAAAGTGAACCAGAATAGTAAACGTCACAGACCAAGTATTAATGACTAAAGTAAGCAGGAAAAGAGCTTTCCAGAAGAACTCCAAATAAAACCCAAGTGCCAAAAGTTACCAAATAAAACGTCTATCAAAAATAATCAAGGGTTGGCGAAACCACCTGAGAAGCTGCTTACCCTAAACAACAGGGGAGAGGCAGACAGACCGCACAAGAAAATACAGGTTAGGTCTGGTGGGAACAGAAATTCTAGCTCTCTGCTCAGAATGAATCATTGTCGCGGCTGGAGGAAGCACACTTGTTTACGTGTAAATGCTGCTACCTGTGATCTTACTTTTGGTCAGGCCGCAGCCAGTGACTCGCTGTTTGTTTACCGACGGCGAGGAGCAGACCCTTCTGTGTTTTCTGTAATAAACCTCAGCCGCAGGCACGTGGAGACAGCGCAGCCAGACGCTCATGTGTGCAGTGCAGGGGCACACACTCCCGGGAATCTTCTGGAATCGCCATCCCTGGCCCAGATGCCCGTTTTTAAAAGAAGGCCACTTTTGGGGGATAGAATCACTTCAAAAAGAAAATTTTTAAAAAATTGTGGTAAATATGTGACAAAGCATTTGTCATTTCGGCAATCCTCACGTGTCCAGTTCAGTGACGTTAATTATGCTCATTGTGTTGTCCAACTATTGCCCTCATCCTCCTCCAAATTATACCTTCACCCTTAACTGAAGCTCGGTGTCCATAAGCATTCAGCCCTGCTTCCCTCCTCTCTCCCACCTGCCCGCCCTGGTGCTGCTGTTGTTAGGTGCTGTCGAGTTGATTTCAACTTATAACGACCCCATGTGACAGAGGAGAATTGGCCCATAGAGTTTTCTAGGCTGTAAAGGAGCCCTGGTGGTGCAGTGGTTAAGTGCTTGGCTGCTAAACAAAAGGTCTGTGGTTCAAACCAACCAGCTGCTCTGTGGGAGAAAGATGTGGCAGTTTGCTTCTGTAAAGATGACGGCCTTGGAAACCCAATGGGGCAGGTCTACTCTGTCCTATAGGGTGCTATGAGTCTGAATCCACTCGAAAGCAATGGGTGTGGAATCTACAAGAGAAAATCACCATGTCTTTCTCCTGTGGAGCCACTGGGTAGCTTCAAATCTCATACCTTTTGGTTAGCAGCCAACCACTTAACCATGGCACCACAAGGATTCTGGTAATTACTAGTAAACATTGATCTCTATACACTTGAAGAAGGCCACTTTTTCTCACCTAAGTGGAGCCAATACTTTCTGTGTAGGCTTAAACAAGTTTCTAAATCCCCCTAAGGTCTAGTTTCCATGTTTGTAAAATAAGACTAATAATGGTATCTACCTCACTGAATGTTGTTGGGATTAAATGAGATAACATAGACAGAGTGCTTTATATGAGGACAAAGGAGAGTCCTCAGTCTCTACTAGCTTTTTTATTTTCACATTTGTGCTAACTCTTAGAAAGCATAGCCCAGCATGAATCACAAAGCACAAACCAGCTTATCATGCAGACACATAAAATGACTATGGAATAAGATGGTAAACTATCTATTGACCTTGATATAATTATCTATATAATTAGCTAGATAGGGCAGCTTGCTAAACTGAACAATTCAGAGAGAGATTAAAAAACCCCGTTGTCGTCAAGTCAGTTTTGACTCATGAGGCTACCCTACATGTTTCAGAGTAGAACTGCACCCCACAGGGTTTTCAGTGGCTGTAATACTGTGGAAGCAGGCTGCCAGGCTTTGCTTTTGTGGTGCCACTGGGTGGATTCAAATCGTCAACCTTCTCATTAGCAGGTGAGCACGAACCATTTATACCACCCGAGGACTTTAGAAACAGAACCGGACAATGTATAACCAAGAGTTGGCTGTGTGCTATGGAGACTCAGAAGCTCCTGGATGGCGTAAAATCTAAGCACTCAACCACTAGCTGAAAGGCTGACGGTTCATACCCAGCCGGGGGTGCCTCTGAAGACACGCCTGGCGATTCCAAAAGACCACGGCCTCGAAAACCGTATGGATCCGTTCTACTCTGCACATGTAGGGTCACCAGGAGTCAGAATCGGCTCAACAGCAACTAACAATGACATGGAGAAAAAACAACGCGTGGGAGAGGGACAGACAGGTGCCAGCTGGTGTCACCAATCGAAGTTTCTTCAAAGGACAGATAGGATTCTGAGATGACAGCGTGGATAGAAGGTGGCCAGGCAGAGAAGACAAGGTGTGACACCAAGGCGGGTGGAAAACTGGCATTGAGACTAAATGTATGGTGTCTGAGAGACGAACTTAAGGAGACTAGAGAAGCGGGAGTTAGAGGAGGGAGGTCCTTGCGCAGTGGACGGATACTTAGAATTGTTTCATCTGAACATTCCAGAATAGGCAAGAGTGAGCAAGGAGAGAATTGTGAATGGGGACTAACATGAAGAGAATGGAGATTGGGGAAAAGCTTACAGCCTAGGAAACCCTATGGGGTAGTTCTACTCTATCCTACAGGGTCGCTGTGAGTCAGAATTGACTCGACGGCACACAGATGCAATAACAACATCTGACCTTACGGGGGGCTATAGTTGGGGAGGTGGAGGGCCGCAGGGGTATGAGGAGGCTAGGGGCCATTTCAGGTGGGAGGTGAAAAATGTTTATTCCAGAATGCTAAAAAATACCTGGGAATGGGAAAAAAAGGAGTTTGATGGAAAATGAGTAATAGGATTTAGTGTTAGAAACTTTGAATTGGAGACGGAATTGCTTGTGACGGGCCTGAAGGCATTTCTAAATACAGGAATTGGTGTTCTAGAAGGAACAGGAACAGAGCCAAGGGACGGGGAGAGGTCCCCACTGCAGAAATCCCAAAGTAGAGAAAACAGTACTCACCCCGGAGGGCCGGTCATTGGGAAGTCAGGCCCTGAACTGGATGTGACACTTCCTCATTCAGGACGTGGTGGACAAACAGGACCACAGAAGGGACAATGGAGGAGCAGCTGGACAGGTGGGATGAGAGCTTGGTGGGGCAGGTAGAGGAGGGAAGGAGGAAGCGTGCACAGGAGAGGAGCTGACCAATTTCAGGGAGAGAGGCCACAGAGGGCAGGGTGGGAAGGCCTTGGCAGAATTCAGCAGATGGAAACACAAAGACGATAACAGAGCATCTCCCTCGGGCAAGGATGTTGAATTTACAAAATGAAAAAAAAAACCTACTCCTGTATATTGTTGTTTGCCTTCGAGTTGGCGCCAGCTGATGGTGACGTTATGTAGAACAGAACAAAATGCTGCCCAGTCCTGTACCATCTTCATGATCATTGGTGGGTTTGATGTTGTTGTTGTCACCTGTCTGTCAGTTTGTCCTGCTCTGGTGGCTTGTATGTCACTGTGATGCTGGAAGCTAGGCCGTCAGTATTTCAGATACCAGCAGAGTCGTCCATGGTAGACAGGTGTGATGGTTAATTTTATGTGTCAACTTGGCTAGGCTATGATTCTCAGTGGTTTGGCCAGATATTGGACTGGTTGCTGTTCCGTGATGTGACGTGATGTGATGTGATGTAATCACCATCCATGATGTGATCTGATGTGATCAGCCAATCAGCTGAAAGGGGAGTTTCCTTGGGGGTGTGGCCTGCCCCCAGTATATAAATGGATGTTCTGGCAAAGCTTGCCCTCTCTTAACCCTGCGCTCTTGTCTCCTGACCTCCAGATCTTGGGCTATAAGCCTGCAGAAGTCTCCAGCCTGCTGCCTGACCTGCAGATTTTGGATTTGCCGGCCCCTACAATCCCATGAGCCAGCAGAGGTCTCCAGCCTGCCACCTGACCTATGGATTTGAGACTTGCCAGCCCCACAATTGTGTGAGTCATTTCCTTGAAGTAAATCTCTCTATGTACATTTATTCATGCCTCACTGGTTTTGCTCCTCTAGAGAACTCAGCTAAGACAGCAGGTTTCAGACTAAGACTAGGAAGAAAGTCCTGGCAATCTACTTCCTGTAAGGAAGGTAGGCTTTGGATTAGAAAAGCTCAGACAGGGGAGGGACACTGCAGCTGTAGGAAAGGGCAGAGCCACACCTACTTGTGCTGCTGCTCGCATGCCGTCACCTCCTGTCACTTCTTGTCCTGGCTGACTCTCTCCTTCCAGCCTGTAAAACCCAGGTGAAGGTTAACCCAGCAGGGACAGATTGAATCCTCACCCATGATCTTTCTTTGCTACTAATTAACAAAGGTTCTGTCTGTTTCATTTGCTTGATAAAATGCCCAGGACAGGTAGATGCTTAAATGAAGCAGATAATTTATTCTCCTTTTAATATGCTGCCCCCTACCCACTACCACGCCCAGCTCAAGGTTGCGCAGGAAATGTCTTCCTACCTAACTCTGGTTCACAGCTGACTCCCCTGACAGATCTCCCTTTGATACGCGTGAAAAAAGTGTTTGCAAATCAATGCATCAGTGTTGAAAGCGTCATACATGGGTACACCAGAGGCTGTGGAGTCGATGCCGACTCATGGTGACCCCATGTGTTCAGAGTAGAACTGTGCTGCATAGAATTTCCTTTTGGAGTCAGATAACCAGGCCTTTCTTCCCAGGCACCTCTAGGTGGATTCTAACTGCCAGCGTTTTGGTTAGTAGCAGCACACTTAACTGTTTGCACCGCCCAGAGACTCTAACTATATATAACCCAAACCAAACCCATTGCCATCAAGTCAATTCCGACTCATAGCGACCCTATAAGACAAAATAGAACTGCCCCATAGGGTTTCCAAGGAGTGGCTGGTGGATTTGAATTGTTGACCTTTTGGTTAGCAGCGGAGCTCTTAACCACTGCGCCACCAGGGCTCCCCTAACCATGTATACTCAAGTTTATTACTTAGGCCCCTTGCAAGGAACCTCCTTACCTCTAAAGACCAAGAAGGAAGGAGAGATGTCTGTAACCACTGAGCATTTCTCTCTCCTCTGCTACTTGGCTGGCTACTGCCAGATCCCACCTGTGACCTGCTCAAGAAATTCTGGCTTGAAGAAGGGTCTAGCTTGGTGGTTCTGGAGCCAAACCCTGGCTCTGCCCCTCGCCAACTGTGTGACTTTAGATAAGTTACCTAACCTCTCTGCACCTCAATTTCCTTGCCCATAAAGTAGGGCTGATAAAGATGAAGCTGTTTTGAGGACCAAACGAGCTAATAACCAATTTACAGCGAATCAATTCTAACTCATGGTGACTCGTGTGTCAGAATAGAATGGTGCTCTGTACGGTTTTCAGTGGCTGATTTTTTCTGAAGTAGATCACCAAGCCGTTTTTCTGAGGTGCCTCTGGGTGGACTTGAACCTTTGCTTTAGCCACTGGGCAGATTAACCCTTTGTACCACTCAGGGACTCTGAATGAGCTAGTCATACATGTAAAATGCCATGTTGTTCTCAAGTGAGGGCCTGGCCAGGGTGAGCTATGCTAGCAAACATTAGGAAAATCAATCCCTCCCTCCCCTGACATCTTTTACCTGCAATTCTGGTGTTCACCTTCTCCTGGTCCTGTCGGTGGTCTTGTGGGAAGTCCCACTAGCTGCCTCCCCTGCCCCTTCACCTTTCCTTCCTCTCTAGGTAAGACTGTCCTTCATTCAGGAGCCTCTCACTGGTTTAAGCTCCCAGGATGGAATACTCAGCCCAACCTGAGACCGGCTTCCGTTTGGAATATAAGGAAATCTTATGTTAGTCCCTTTGCATCGCCAAAGTCCCCTTATTATTCTCTACACATGACTTTCTTTATAGGGTTTAAGGGTAAAGAATTCCTAACAACAAATTTAGAGCTCTTTGGAACTCAACTCATCGGAAAATTGTGGCTTGTGCATGTATTCCCACATCATATTGCATGTCCTCGTCCATTAGGGAAAAAAAAAGACAAAATTAAAACCTTAATAGGAATATTTTTCAGAAAGTTCCACTTTTTTTTTTTTTTAAGACGGCTATGTCTCCACCCTTAGTGGTCTCAGAACACGCGTTTAGCAATGTCTTCAGGTACTTCCAAGATGGTGCAGGCTCTACGGTGACAACCAAGGACCGCCGTACCCCCTGTCTGACATTGCCCTGATATGTGGTCCCTGTGGCCCCCTCTCATTTTCCAGTAACTTCCCAGATTTCAACTCTTCCTGCATTTAGCTACATCAGGCCTGAGCACCCACTGAATTTGAGGACCATCGATCGGCAGAATGCGGTCTAATTCAGGCTTGAGATGTGACAATGTGGTCCTTTCTTCCCACCCCCGGAATTTTCCCTCCAGTGATCTGAGACTGGACAAACTCTGAAGGAAGTTCCCCGTCTGCCATCCCTGTCTGCACCCTTTTTCCCTCCCTCTCCACCCCCAGGGCACATCCTCTGTCTTCCCTCAGCTCCCTGGGCCCCCACGGCTTACTCCCTCTCCCTCCATCTCTCAGCAATTGCCTGCTCCTTACGTTGCACTCCCCACTGAAGCTGCAGGCCTCACTGTCTGATCCGACAGCTTTAAGGGCATGAGAGTTCACCCAATTCCACTTCCTTATTTTGTGAATGAGCAAATTAGGTTCCAGAGAAGTTAAGGTGGCCGAGGTCACACAGTTAGTCAGCAGGAAGGCTGGGACCGAGCTTGGGCCTCCTGTCCCTGAGGTGATGGTCCTTCTCCAGCTTGTGGTCCAGTCCCCAGGGACACTCACTATACACCTTACTTGGCCCTTTGGGGAATGAGATATTCTTGTTTTTGTCACCCTGCCTGGCTTCTGATCTGCTGCTTATCCTAAGCCTCACCAATCACACAGGTCCTAACTTTGGTTCCTTCTCACTCACTCCTCAGGAGCAAAATTCTCGATCAATACTTGAATTCAATTGTGGGCACAGGAGTTGCTAAAATTCCTCACCCTTCTTAGTTTTTAGTTGAAACGGGAAATAATAACAACAAACATTGCTGAGCTCTGAATACGTGCCGGGTGCTGTGCCCAGAGTTTATTCGTATTTTCTCACTTAATTCTCACAATCGTCCTATGGGGCAGGAGAGTATTTATTCCTAATTTACAGATGGGAAACTGAGTCTCAGAGAGGATAAGGAAGCTGACCAAGATAACACCACTAGGAAGTGAAAGAGCTGAGATTTCAACCAGTGACTCTAGTCCACTAGACCCACTAGACCTGGGAAACTCAAACTGTGATCTTTGGACAAGCAAATAGACAGCACCTGGGAACTTGTTAGAAATGCAAATTCTGAGCGTCACTCTAGACCCACCAAATCGGAAACCTGGTGGTGGTGGGGTCGGCGCTCCATATTTTCACAAGCCCCCTCATGACGCACGCTGAAGTCTGGGAACCACAACACCAGACTATACAGCAGCTCCACCAGCAGCCAGAAATGCCTCTGGGATGCTTGACACACTTAGAATCATTTGTCGGCTTAACAAATCGGTACTGTGTGCAAAGCACATCGCTCTTCCCATTTTGCAACCATAAACCTGGAGGTTTGAGAGACTTTCCAACACGCAAATAGAGGATGGAGAGGCGGAAGCCCTCACTCCAAGTGATTCTCTCTAATCACTTGGATAGCAGTCCCTCCCTTCCTGGCCCTGGGTCAGGCCTGAAGATAAACAGCCAAGGACCTGAAATAAATGAGAGCCACACTCTCTCCAAATAAATCAGTACTGTTCTCCACTATAACACACGTCTTCTCACCAGACTAAGAACACATCACTGCCAGAACTTATTTTAGCAAAGCTGTAGAGTCCTTTCTGGCCCATTCTTAAGCATTATAGTTTTTATCCATCATCTAGGCGGTAGAGATCAATGATCTCATCGGTGTGGAGAGCTATTAGATTCTCAGCTGCCCTTAATAGGCTGGCTTGAAGATACAGAATTTCTTGTGGCATTTGTCATGCTATTCGTCTGTTCACATACTTGCTGCTAAAATAACAGTGAATGTGCACAAGTCCCCATGCAGAACAAATCCAACATCCTCACAACCACAGGGAAACAGCAAGCAAGCTTCATCTTATGTAGTAAGTCAGGTGAGCTAAGCTCTTGATAAGAGGCAGCCTCATTTAGTCAAATAAGTCTTAAAATAGATCCTTGACCCGATGAGTAACTTGCAGCTTTCCTTCTTCTCTCCTCGTTGCCTTTCTTCCCTCTCCCGTGCACATCATAGAAATACCTTTTCTGAGAAACCAATGAGAGAGAAATGCTTTGGAAAAACTGTTTTTAGAAAACGTCAGTCTAAGCTATACGAGGGGAACCTGTTGAAGGTCTTTTTGCAATATGCTCTGCACGTAGTAAGTGCACAATTAAAGAAGAGTATCAGTTGAGTCCTGCAGTGGCACGATCGGTTAAGCGCTTGACTACTAACTGAAAGGTTGGCAGTTCAAATCTACCCAGGGGCACCTTGGAAGAAAGTCCTGGTGATCTGCTTTCAAAAGATCACAGCTTTGAAAACTCCATGGAGCACAGTTCTACTCTGTACACATGGGACTGCCATGACTTGGAATTGACTTAAGGGCAATGGCTTTTTTTTTTTTTATTGACTGCTTCAATGTCTCCTGTCTTCTTTTTGATTGGCAAAGACTCCAGCTTGCTAACTATTTGGATTCTGCATTTATTTCATAACAATAGTCCTATTCATTCATTTACCCCATTAGTTATTCATTCCTTATTTATTCCTGTGTACCAGACTTGTGCTAGAAAATGGAAATCCAAAGATGAATAAGAATTTTCCACCTCCCACCTTGCCTTCCAGGAATTTGTAATCTAGGGAGGGAAATGGGCCGAACAAACTGGCTCAGTGTGGTAAGGAGAATAATAAGGGTCATTTCTATAATGCGCCTTAGAGTTCCCAGAGCACTTTCTCATCTCTCGTTTG